AAAGAGATCTGGGTCCCTATAGAAGGGGGATTGCAACACTAATGAAAATGGGGGCACAAGCCTGATGGGATTTCAATCCTAATGGAAGTTTCAAAAAATTTTGTAAGTTTGAATCCGACGTCTTTGATTATGTGCTAATTTTTTGCATTTGGGTGATTTTCAAACTAATGAGCACCTGTTAATCATTTATGTTTTCTCTTTCCATCGTTGTAGTTTACATCAGTGATTGAAAACTAGTGAGCTGACTCAGAATCACCCAAGTCAGCTCAGATTCGGTGGGTCCCCAATTTTGAAAGGTCCCGAGCTATGCGGCTCCTATTATGGCCTCACAATCAGTGTTTTGTCAAATTTGGTATGAGAATTTCAAACCATCAAATTCTCATTATGCATGTGTAGATGATGCTAAAAAGTGGATCATACAGCGTTCAATATTTTAAAATATACTTTTTAAATATATAAATATACACATATATTATATTATATATATATGTATATAGGTAGGTAAGTAGGTAGGTACATACATACGTACATGCATATGTATGTATGCATAAAGGGCACACTCACATATATAAATATACACATATATATTTTATATATATAAATATATATATGTCTGTAGGTAGGTAACTAGGTAGGTAGGTACATACGTACGTACATACATATATGTATGTATGCATAAAGGGCACTCTCACATACATATAGTACATATATCAGGGCACCCTGTGAACAATGCTTTCAATGTGCTCCCAAGTAGGGAGCTTCAGCCTCAAGTCAATCCCAGGCTCCTACTCTGACTCCTACACCTACTCCCACTCCCAATCCATTTTGAACTATTGAGGTCGCACTTGAGCTATTTGATGGTATGTTTAAAGTAGTTTATTGATTGCCATATGCTATAGCATTCACCGATGAGCTCTTACATATAAATTTTGGCTCCTCAGAAACCAAGTAAGTCTGATTCCTGTGATGTATTTATAGAGCAACGGGCTTAAGCTTCCCTCCTTTAGGCATCAGATTACAAGAATATCCATTTATCGTCTATCACCAAAACTTGCCAAAATTTGATCCTAGATCCAATTTGGTGGTCTATCCCTCTGATAGTCATCTTTTTCTCAACGCATTGCCTTTTAATAAATATTAACACCTTTGTGAAAGATTTTGGGATGACAAGTGCCATCTAATCCTCATGTGAAGCGTTAAAGGGCAAATCAACCACTAAAGGCCTCACTAAACCATCTATTTCATAAATTGGTACCTTCCCTTCCACATACATAATATTTTTATTATCATTGGGTTATTCTAAAAAATTTCCAAGAGTAATGTTAATCTCTAATCAATAAACCATTTTATTGAATGGTTAAAAACAGGCCACTTTTCAAATTCTATGGATAATAGTTCCAATAGTTTTATCAAACAAAAGAAATTCATTTCTGCAGAGAATTCCAAACAAGCTACCAAAAATGGGAAAATAATTTCTAAGGAAAGATTTTCCAAATAAATCATTTTCAGGGTAAACGTTTCCATTATTCACGACGTCTCCTTAATGAAGGTTCTATTACTAATTTCAAAAAGAAGATACTAATCCTGCGGCTCCTCCATAAGCAACCAATCTGTTTCATTAAGGATGAGAACAGCATAATCTGGGTTTCTATGGAAACCAACCTAAGTAATGATTGGGTTTCCCATTACTAATTTCTCTTCAACTTCCTCTATTTGTATCTTTCAGAAAGTGTGTAAAAACCATAGTCTTAAAGCATCCCATATAAACAGTGTTTCAGACAATCTCCTTCCTTATAATTCTCAAGACCCGAGTCTTTAAGTTGTAGAGTTACAATTACAGCTCAAAACAAGTGGAAAAGGGAATAATTGCAATATCAGAATATTTTCAACAAATTCAAGACTTCAGGTAATCATATGCCAACAAACTTCTGTTTTACAGCAATAAGGTTCTCTACAGTGCTTCCAAAAGCGCTAGGCGGCACCCAGGGGGCCAAGGGGGTCCAGGCCAGCTAGCGCCTAGGCAGGCTCCCAGAACCTGGGCGGCCCAGTTGATTAAAAAAAAAACTGACGAGTGATGACTGATAATGATGAATCCATAAGAATTTTGATAATCTATAAGGCCCATAATCCATAAGAATTTTGATAATCCACACGACCATAATCCCAATTACAAAAAAAAGATAGAAGTCGAGAAGCGAATTTTGATAATCCATAAGACCATAATTCATATTTTCATACAATGCTAAAACAGTTAAACCATACAAGCATACATTGATAGTCTGATACACTGTAGACCGTACACACAAAAGTTACATAGTATAACAAGAAACTAGAAAGTAGAACTAGAAACTAAAAATAAGAAAAAGAAAATATACAGAAATTCAGAAAATATACACTTTAGGACACAATAGTCAACACTCAACACCAAGAGTCTTCACTATTCAATCATCATCAACAATCATCATCATCAAAAGGAATAGGGTAAGCTTCATCATATGCATCGATATTGAGGCCATCATCATCAGAGCCATCTCCTTCTTCAATATAACGCTCGTCCTCCTCTGTTTCTTCTGAATTTGCCTCTTCCTCCTCCTCTTTTTCTACCTGTGTCTTACTAGTATGTGCAGATGAAGCCCTAAGAGTCTTGGCTGCTCCACACTTTTCTATCTTTTTGTGCTTCCTTGAACTCAAATATTGTATAATTTCCTCTCTGGTAGTCTCAAGAACATTTTTACATGAGGCAACATCCCCCTTAATACCGGCAAGGTATTTTTTAAACCGTTAAATGCCCCCATTAGTATCTTTCCACAATAATTACATTTAATACGATTTTTGTCATTCGGAATCGGGTTATAACCATACTTCCACCCCGGATCACAACTTCTAGAAGAACCTGGAGAAGATATTCCACAGAACAAGACTCATTTTCATCATTTTATGGTTCTTTTAAATTCAAAAGCCGTCTGATCTCATCCTGAATAGCTGCAAGAACCTTTTTATAAGAAGCAACATTCCCTTTAATACTGGCAAGATGTTTCTTGAATCGGTTAATACCCCCAATGGTATCTTTTTCATAAAAATTACATCTTATACAATTTTCATCGGGTTATAACCATACTTCCAACCCGGATCAAATGACCTATTTCAATAAGTAGCAGAAAAAGACCTATTCAAATGACAAGGATTTTGTTCTTGTTTTTGTTTTACAGAACTCATATATTGCTTAATCTCCTCTCTGATAGCTTCAAGAACATTTTTACAAGGGGCAACATCCCCCTTAATACCACCAAAATGTTTCTTGAACCGATTTATGCCGCCTTTCGTATCTTTTTCACAAAATTGCATCGAATGCAATTTTTGTCATTTGGATTCGGGTTATATCCATATTTCCAACCCGGATCTCCACTTCCACTAGATCCTGAAGAAAACATCTCAAAATACAACAAGCAATCTAGAAACCCATTTTAGAGAGAAAGAAACCTCAAGCAAACTAAATTTTGTGAGTTTTATTGGATCGAAATGTTTCTTAAAGTTACGAAAAACGGATCCAAACATCACCCAGGTAGATTTGATTTAGTTTTGGAGTTTTATAATCCTATTAAAGGGCGTTCTTTATCACTTTTGCACTTACTTTGATTGCTCGAGCTCTAAACTCCCACCTCTGAGATGTTTTTTTGTGCTAAAATAATAAAGAACACCTTTAATAGGACTATAAAACTCCAAAACTAAATCAAATCTATCTAGGTGATGTTTGGATCTGTTATCCGTAACCTTGATAAAGACTTCGATCCAATGAAAGTCACAAACTTTAGTTTTCTTGATGTTTCTTTATCTCTAAAATGGTTCTTGTGGGTTTAGGTTTGAAATGAACCTAAAACCCATCCTTCAAACCCTTTATATTTCAAAAAAAATCAATACAACGAAAAAAAAAAAAAAAACTTTCCACCCCTAGGCGGGGCACAACCCTTGGGCGCCCGCCCAGGGCTGGGCACTGAGCGCCCGCCTAGGCGGGTTCCGTACCGCCTAAGCGGTCGCCCAGGGACTATCACCCAGTTTGGCTGCCTAGGCCTGGGCGATGCGCCCAGGCCTTCTGGACCGCCTAGGCACAGGGCGGTCCGCTTTGTTTTTTATCACTGGTTCTCTACGATCTTGCAGGTCTTAGGGATGGTGAACTTTATCACTTCTGTTACCACATTTCCATTCCCAAATTTTTCACATGCCCGGCTCCAATATGAAGCTAGTTTTAGTTCCCAACAAGAATTGTCGGTGCAATTATTGTGGACATGAAGAGGACTGTGGCCACTTGACAAATCAACCTTAAATTGCTTTTAATCAGTACATCATTTCTAGCCAGACAATAAGCAGCTTTCAAAGGTATTCTCGGGCCAACACCTATCAGATCCTCTACTAGAAGTGAGATTATGGAAATCACCATAAAGTATTTTTCGTGCAACTGTCTTACCAACATAAGGCCTGACTGCCTAAGAAAAATGACAGGAACATACGACATTGAGGTCTTTGAACTCTCACAAGCTCCTAAAACAAATGAACAGATCAAATGCCATATTAGTTGTCATAACATTCTCCCATATAGTGTCTCCATCTGTCTCCACTACAACAAGATGTATATCATTTTATCCAACTCAGAAAAGAACTATACTCAATTTGTAAGCCATATTATCCATCACAAACTTTAATTTTTCCCTAACAATGGTCGAAGTGTGTTACAGCTTCTTACAACTGCAACCCGCTGAAACTAAATCTGAAAAATGCAATTTTCTTATATATGCTGCATCATTATCTGCCAGATTCAAGTACCACCATCCAAAAATGGCATTTCCTAGCTTTCAGTTTAAAATGACACAGAACAGCAGGGGATGCATTATTTGTTGAATTGTTACAATAATGGTCTGAAGATGGGCAACCTACCACCAAAACATTTCAGAACATGAAACCAAGATAATGAATTGAGAGACAAAAGCCTTAAAGATTAAAAGTACCTGTAAGCTATCATCCGCTCCTTTTGCATTTGCTGCGCAAGCTATTGAATTAAAATACCCGGTAACAGCTTCAACAACATATTGACCGGCAATGGCAGGGAAACCTCTCAAAGTATAGTGAGACATCACAGCAGTGTTAAACAATGCCCAAGTATGCCATGCTTTTGCCCAATCTTTGGCGCAATGAGTCGCATTTCGGAATGCCATAAGGATTTCTAGGAGTCATTACAAGCAGTCAGCTGCAGCCGCAGTTTAACAGAGGGAAAAGATCAATTACGACAGAATTACATGTCTCTCACCTTGTATAGAGTCATCATCCAACCCAGGGCACCGAGCCCACTGCCATGATCCAAGTTTCAAATAAACACGAGCAATAAGGGGAACACCAGAACTTGAAGAATTAAATGAGCTAGTTTGTGTCCCTGACAAAAGGTTTGCTGCTCCAGGCAATTGTGACATGCCCGCAAGTTCGATAGTTAATGCCTAAAAAGAAAGACAAAAAATATCTTGTAAACACCAGAAAGAGGGAAGCACTAAGATGAGTGAAAAGCTAAGATATGGGATTTTAAGAGAAGACAAATAATTGGTCACCTGCAGCTTAGAGAATGCATCTTTTCGCTTAGCATCTTCTCCAAGAGACCACTCATACTTTAAGTAAGCTAACATCACTTGAGGAGGACCATAGTATACAGGATTTTCAGGAGCTGATTCAGGGTCAATCTGCAAATTGTTTTCAGAAGGATACTCTTATCCAAAGTATTTGCCTGAGTAAGTTTGAAATGAGAAAGCCATACGGTGGAAAAAGGCATGACTGACCTGTAAGAGTTTGAGTAACGTAGAACGAGCCTGACTAATGCGGCCGCTTTTCCGACAAAGAGAAGCAAATTTAAGCCAGGTTTCTATATCTTCAGATGGAGGAAGTACAAGTGCTCTTACTGCCAGAAGTACTTGCCACACCTAAGAGATTTTGCAGGCCACCCAATGATAAATTTAACGGTTTAGACTATGATATGCAAAACATCTAGAAAGGTGCAGCAAAGGAAAAAATCATGATGAGAGTAAGTAATTTAAGGCAGCAAAGCCAAACAAAAAAAAAGAAAAGAAAAGAATACAAAACTCTCTATATAATACAGATCCATCTGTGTTAAATTGGAAGGGACATCCACAAAAGAACTAAATATATTTGCTTTCAGGTACAAGCCTCAAGTTTTATGTACAAAGAATAAAGGAAGCATGCAGTAATACCACAGTTGCATCTTGGTACCGCATCACATTTATGGGTGCATGAGTGTGTGAGTGTGTGCGTGTGTGTGTAAAAAAAAGAAGATATTGAGTATGATATTGAGTAATTAAAGATCTAGATAGAATCTCCATGACATGGATGGTCTGAGACTTTCAATTCACTGTTGGGGGGACGGAATTAATTCCTGACCATTTTTAGGAGTGTGAATTCCTTCTCTTGATCACTAGGAGTAGAGCATTTGGAAATTTTTGGTGTCAAAGCAACCCCCCAAGGCCAACGAGCGTATAACAACATATGAAAAACCTCAAAAAGAAGGAACAATAAAGATTTTGAGTTTTGTCAGCCGTCCATAATGAATTTTCTACATTCATTGCAGGGGGCGAAATTAATTTGGACCACTTGAAATTGTGAACATTTTCTTTCCGATTGCTAGGATGAATAGGGCATGTATGCAAACTGTGGTGCCAGACAAAGCCCCCAAGGCCAACAGGCTTGTAGCATCTTTGGTTCAACAAATGAAAAATCTCAAAAAAGAAGAAACAAAAGTTTTGAGTTCCAAAAGATCTAGATCAGCCACTCATGAAGCATATATTCTGTGTTCACTGCTGGGGCTGAAATTACTTTGGACCTATCTTAAAGTGTGAATATTTTCTTTCCAACTACTAGGATGAGCAGAGCATGTCTGCAAATTGTGGTATCATAGAAACCCCCCTAAAGCCAACAACCTCATGCTACAGCTTAAAAATGTTTTCATACAACACACGTGTGCACACATGCACACATAAGACATATAGTCTGTGTTGGGGTTATATGCAGTCATTTAAAGACCTCATGAGAGCATGTAAAACAATGACTATAGTGATGTAATAACTCCAATGGGAATATAGTCCGGTGGGACCAAAGGAGACATTTTTTATGCCGTGACTCACCTAGGCTTTGACGAGCTAGGCCTGGGTCGATGTCTAAAACCCATAGCACTCGGCATATGGTACAACTGAGGAAGATTTGCAAGGTCATCCCATGATGAGGTTGGAGAGATGCCCAGGGTCGTTGGCCAAGGGATTGTGTGACCCATGTATGCACTTGGCTAGCTTGAGGGCACATAAACCAAAATCCTCAATCATTGCCAACGCACCGCAAGTACACTAGATAGCAGTTCAGAGAAGCAACCGTTGGAGTATGTCGTGTACATGTGCAAAAGAGATAAACCCCATCATTGTGATTGTGTGCGAAGAAGGTCCTACAGGGTCAAGACTTATCCTCAAGGGGGAACCTAAAATCCATGGGCTAGAGTTCTCTTCACTACTTGACTAGCTTTGATAGACCGATCATGAACTCCTACGACAGATTGTGGGTCATAGGTTCTATTGGGTTAGCTTGAGAAGATAACTGTCGTTTGCGGTTGCACGCATAGATGGAGTACCTCAATGAATTCGTATGTTTCTTGACCCAATGGATTCAATTCCCATTTAAATATACTTACACAGATTGTATTTGAATTATGGGACATCAAAATAAATTTTTAAAATTCTACGTATATTTTATTTTCTCAATAGGAATTTTTACTTAAAGCTAAAAATTGAATTTTCAGGTTTTATGAATACATAGCTATCTTAAAAATATCAAATGAATTTCAAAATTTATTTTAAAAAATTACTAAGGGACTATTGGGGCCACTTCGGAATAGGGCCCACCACATGAAGGTCCACTTTAGTGGGGCATGGGGCCCATATGGGACCCACATGACCTCCATGCCCCACCTCTTCTATTCTTTCTCTTTCTTTGACTTGTGGCTCAAGACTTCTACAAGGAAGCCCAAGATTTGGATAAGATTTACAAAATATTTGATTGAGATTACATAAAATTGTGATAAATTGTTCCATATTAGTTTATTTTTCTAAAATCTAATATTTGATGGGAATGGATTAAGAAACTAAGGGATAATGGTTCTAATACCTTCCCTTTAATCTTGATGGCTAATCCAAAGAATGGGTCGCTAAGATCTCTTCACCCCACAGGTCTCTTTAGATCAATGGTCCAGATTAAATCTACATAAGGATTGCAAACCCTAGGCCCCCAATACCATAGTCTTTTTGCACCATAAATACCGCCTTTGGGGGATGAGTTAAGACACATCTTTCCCTAGATCTCTCTCTCTCCCCTCTCCTAGCGTGGCACACCACTATCTCTTCTCCTTTTTCTCTCTCATCTCACCTCTCCGTCTCTCTCTAGGTTAGAACAAAGAAAGAAGGGGCCACACCTCAAGCATATAGAAGAGAATGGCATGCCCAAACATAACCTAGGTATAAAGAGGCCCCATCCCATTGTTGTGGCTAGATATATGCTCACATAGCAATGTTTTGAAAAATGGTCTGCCCGGCGCCTAGGTGGCCTGAACAAAAAAACTGCACGCCTCGACCCAGGAGGCCCTACACTGGGCGGGTGCCCAGGGCCTTAAGGCGTTTTTTTATTTTTAATTTCATCCAAAAGGGCAAAAGGGGTCATTTTGACCCCCAAGATTGTATAAAAACATTATGGGGTTTATTTTTTAACCCCCAAAGTGAAAGAAAAAAGAAACCCTCAATCTCTAAACTTATTTATGCGAATCTAAAGTAATTTCTGAGAATCGAAAGTATTTTTTGTGGATTGAAAGAGTTTTCTTTTCTCATTGAAATTATTTTTAGGGTATTATTGGTGGCATAAGAAGACTTTTGAGTTGATTCGTAGCTCGATTGAGGTAACCAACATCGAAGTTCAGAGATTGGGCACAAAAGGTCAGTCTGTAATCTTTATTTGAGTTTTATTTTTCCAATGTGAGAAATCTTCTACGGGGTATAGTAAGGGTGGAGATCCGAGATGGAAATATTGTGTTAACCGTGATAAGAATGACAAGAATAAAATTATGTGCAATTTCTGAGGACATGTTTCTAATGCCGACATAAATAGATTTAAGAAACATCTTGCCGCTATTAGAGGTGACGTTGCTCCATATAAAAAAGTCTCAGATCTTGTAAATAAATAAATTTGTAAATACATTGAAGGTGAAAAGAGTAAAAAAAATTGCAAAAAAAAGATATAGCAGAATTAAAGTTAGGGGTCTATGTTTTTTATGATAATATTGACACTGAAGAAGATGATGAAGAGGGGGAAGAAGAGGTAGCCATGGTTGGTACTTAGAGCTCTAAGAACAAAAGGGCTTTTGGGTTCAAGAAGCCTCGTATGAGAGGGCCTATAGATAGTTTTTTTACACCTAACCCTGAGACAGTAATTGAGAAAGGCAAGGGAGGAAAGGGAAAAACACAAGTGACAATTGAAAATAGATTTAAGAAGGAAGATAGAGGCAGGGCGATTCAGTATATTGCTGAGTGGTTTTACCATGTGGGCATTTCTTTTAACACTGTTCGCTTGAATAGCTTCCATACAATGTTGAAAGCAATTGGGTAATGTGGGCCAGGTTTGAAAGCTCCAACTCCTTATGAGATTGGAGAGCCACTACTAAAGAAAGAAGTCGAGTATACTGACGAATATCTCAAGACCCATAAGGAGGGATGAGCTAAATTTGGGGTTTCTTTAATGACAGATATGTAGAGCAATAGGGAGGAGGAGGAGTAACATGAATTTGTTAGTAAATTATCCCATGGGTACATATTTTTTGCGCTTTGATGCTTCCAATGATATTCATGATGCACATTATATATTTTCTTTCATTGATAAGGGCATTGAGGAGGTTGGGGAGGAACTTGTACTTCAAGTGGTTATAGATAATGCTGCTCCCAACTTAGCAGCAGGTCATTTGCTTCGACAGAAGAGGCCTCGCATATTTTGGACTCCTTGCGCTGCACATTGCGTAGATCTTATGCTTGAGGCCATTGGTGAACTGGCTATTATTAAATGAATTCCTTTTAAGGCTAAGGAGGCTACAACATACTTACCCTTAGCATGATGCGCAAGTTTACAAAAAAGAGAGAGCTAGTAAGGCTTAGGGTCACTAGATTTATCATTGCCTACCTTAGTCTACAGAGCATGTATAAGAGGAGGATCGCATTAAGGTCTATGTTTGCTTCAGAGGTGGGGAGTAGGTGTAAGTGGTCTAGAGATGCCAAGGGAAAGAAGGCACGGGATACTGTTCTTTAAAATAATTTTGGTGTGGGATGCAATATTAGTATTTCTTCCCTTGGTGAAGGTCTTGCGCTTGGTTGATGCTGATAAACCCTCCATGGGCAGTATATATGATGCAATGGAAAAGGCTAAGAATGATATTGCAGAGAATTTGGGCAATGATGCAGCCATGTATGACCCAATTTGGGAGATTATAGATGCCAAATGGGATATGCAGCTCCATAGACCATTACATGCAGCGGGATACTACTTGAACCCCAAATTCTTTTATGCAGATGCGGATATTGAGTCAAAGGGGATAATTATGGAAGGTTTTAATGAGTGCCTTGAGAAATTAGTTCTCGATCCACATATCCAAGATAAGATATCAACTGAAGAGCTAATTTCGTACAAGTATTCTTTGATGTCATTTGGGAAAGATATGGCATTAAGACAAATAAACAAAGACGAACCAGGTAGTATACTTTTGACTTTTGTTTTATAAATTATAATTTTCTTTCAAGTTTCAACTTTCAAGTTCTGATAAAGTTAAATACCTAAATTAATTATAAAGGTTGCCCACAGATTGCAGCACAATGGTGGAGACAACATGGGAGTAGCGTTCCAAACCTCCAGAAGATGATAATACAGATCTTGAGTTTGCCAGCTACCTCTTCTGGTTGTGAGCGCAATTAGAGTTCGTTTGAGACGGTATTTTACTATTTTATAAGTTTATATGCTTTTCTTGTTTATAAGTTCATTTTGTAATATGGATTCATAGAAGGTAAGAAGATCATAGACTCATTGTAGTTACTTATGCATTTTTCCTTATAGGTGCATACAAAGAGAAGAAATAGGCTTGAGCAAAAGAAGCTCAATGACTTTGTTTTTGTTTGAGAAAATCAAAGGCTCAAGGAGAAGAAAAACCAGCCAAAGAAGGATCCTATCTCTTCGAAAGACATGGAGAATGCTTCAGATTGGCTAATTAGTGACCCTGGTACTGAGGAGGTCTTCCCTGGGGAGGATTTGATATGGGAAATGGTCAAGGAGGCTTCGGGGCAAGCTTCTGATCCTAGGAGGGCCACTTGAGCAACTTCTTCTACTGGTACTTCATGAACGAAGATAGAGGAATAGGAGGCAGATTCAGAAGAATCTCTGGAAGAAGAGGAATATGTTGAAGAGGGTGATGATTCTGATGATGGCGGCCTCAAGTCTGATGCAGATGACAGCAATGAAGATGATGATTCTGATTTTTATTGATGTCTTCTCTCTTCTTTTATAGTAACTTTATTGCACCATCTTTGGTTTGAGCTTTAGACATTTTGACTATTTTTATTTTGTTATGTGATTTATACTTTTTTTGCCTTTCTGAACTATTTTGTTGTGTGGTTTACTGGTTTTTTATAGGTTTGGAAGTCAGTTTGTTTAAGACTTTGAGAGTTGGAGACTTGGATGTTATTATGGTTTATTTTATGGATATAGAATATGGAGAATATGAGAGTTGGAGACCTTACAATAGCCTATTAGACCTTTAAATGTTTTTTATGGTTTGAAATTTTGAATAAGTTTATTCTCAACCTGAGATATGTGATATGCTTGTATATAAAAACGTATGTTGCGAACTTGTGATATTTTCAAATGGAATAAATTACAAATTTTGACACAAATATATGCAGATATGTGCATTTGGATAGCAAATATATAAAAAAATCCTAAGAATTTGCACCACAAGGCACCCAAGGTTCTGAGCGCCCACCTAGGCATTGGGCGCCAGGCAAGCGGCCTAGGGGCCGCTTAGCGTTTTTTGAAACCTTGTCACATAGAGTTAGGGATTTGCCTATGCTTCCCATTGTGTAAGACAAACTGAAAAGACCTCAATCCTACACCATTGGTGTGTAGACACAGAGTGGTGTGTAACAAGTCCTTGGACATAACCCTTGGCAACGCAATTTCGTATTTTACGGTTCCATGTTTCTTGATTTGCCTTTGTGTATTATACCATGATTTTGTTCAATAACATAACTCTTTAGCATGCAAGTGAGGATCCTAGATTGTATTAGGGTTTTATTTTTATGAAATAAAGTTGTAATTTTGGACACTAGTAAGCATTCTAGCTGCTATAAAAAAAAGAAAGCAAGAAAATTTTTAAACCGCATATACTTAGCTAGATCACATAGTCCACCTTTCTGTCTGCCCTAGTTAAAACCCACGCTAGAAGGGTCCTTAGCACCCAAAATGCATTAGAATGGCCATGAAGCACAAAACTCGGGAAAGTGTTGATACTCACATGGGACAAGCTAAGGTCCCAGGTCAACTCACCAAGTCTTAAAGCAATGCTTTTTTAGTCTAAGTTTCTTTCACAACCTTGTTCGCTGGGACCAAGATAGTGCATGCAGAATATGGGCTCAAACAAAATGCCCATAAGGCACAAAAAGTGGGGTTAGGCAGACACTATAGGACGCCACCTAGGCAGACCATTTTCAATTCCATATAGATACAAGTAATGATTCCATGAGTCCATCGCAGATAGGGGCTTCATAGGACTCCATTCTGTGCTAGTAGGTTCCTATCCACATTTATAGAGTAATGGTGATGCTAGATCACCTGTAAAATGGAAAATTCAAAATAAAAATAAAATTTCAATTTCTCTCCAATTTAACTCTGAAGTCTCAAGTTCTACTTTGCATTTCCCCTCCATCTCATGTCCCTCTGCCTCTACTTATCTCTTAATCTCTTCTCATCTTTGTCACCCTGAACTCTCTTTGATTCCCACTCTCAATTTCTCATCTCGCTCCCTCCCCATCCATCCATCTACCCACCCATCTATTCTATCCATTTATCTATCTATCCTATCTATCTATTCTATCTATCTGTTTATCTATTTGGTCTTATTAATGTATCTATCAATCTATCGCTTCTCCAAGAAAATCTAACCTCATTGTGAAATTCTGTCTCTTTCAAAACACTTCACTGTTTTGCCGCTTTGAGATTCCTCCCAATGCAACTTATCACAGCTGCTTCAGAAACCAAACTTTTTGCAATCAAAATAAATGAAGCAAATTCTAACTAAGGCCACTGGAGACAACACATGATATGATTGATAGAGTTAATGAAATAACTCTCTCATGAACTACTGTTTTATGAGATATAAGGGCTTTAAGATTGAAATTTTCACATACAGCAGCACCAAGCAGAAAGAATTATAGAAAATAATGCAGAATCAATTATTATTCATGCAATTGATTTTTCGAATGACAAACATGTTTTCCTGGGAGCACCACAGCTAGTTTTATAAAGAACAGACAACGGCCTACAAGTTTTTGATCAAATAGTAAAGTGAGAGATATATGTAGTATGCTAAAATTTCATGATCATTACATAATTCAAGTGGGAGATCTCCAGTAAGCTCTTCAACTCTACAAAGATGCAAATACTAGAACTTCTGGACCATAACATGGGCCATAAATCCATAGATGTGGTTGCAAACCAGATATGTGAAATGCCTGTGGCTGAGAGACAGAAGGGGAGGCAAGGCCAAGATAGTATCGAGGGAGAAAAGAGGCAGGTAAGAAAGAGACAGAAAGAGAGATTAGAAAGAGATGGAGAGTGCTCGTCAACAAGAAAGCATGAAACAGGATATTGGGCGAGAGATGGACACATGGAGAAAGAGAAT